CACATACATACGTTGTCTGCAAGCATTTTTTGTAGCATTTCCGAATCCCCAACATCCTGATACACTTTCATACGTGCACATTGTATGCACCTGTTGAATTTCCTTTTTGGTTTGTATCACTTTGTTTGCCTCAAGCTTGATCCGCGATATTTCACGTGGTCTCAAATAGGGATATATATTTTCATTACCAACGAATGGCATCGTGAGTTTCCTAATGTATTGTAACGTTGCATAAAAATGTTTCTATGCCATTTTAGCAGAACATCAAACATATGTTCACTCTATATGGGTAAAATTTGAAGTCATGCGTGACGGTCGCTGGAATGACATGGTAAGAATTTCTAACGTGTCCGAGTCACATGACGTGGTATCGACTTCGGTGTGATGAATGGCTTCAATATCATTCTGTACCTCTATGATGTAACCTTACAGGCTCAAAAATATAACATAATAGCCTTTGTACCTTGATTTGTGGATATAGTTCAATCAATTACACAAGTAAATGTCGTTGATGATTGGAGATATCCAGTTGAGTGATTCGGACATGGAGCTCGCGCGCGGTGTAAAACCCATTGTAACTTCCACTTCACTTTTGATATGAAGAACAATGTGTGGAATAAAAAAAAAAAGAAAAATTGCCTGAATCTAAGAAATTAGTTAAAAATTTCCCCAGCCTTGTGAAACGAAGAGTGGTGTGTATAAACAATATAAGTTGTAGAAGATCAGAGGGTCTATTTTTCTAATTTTAATTTAGGAAGCTTACCTCAATGTCTTGCCTTGTGCTTATAAAATCTAAGCCCTAGCACATATTAAGTAAACTGTTGATGGTTTCGACGTATGACCTTTATTATGCACAAAATAAGGGTAAAAATAACTCATTCAAGAGACTGGCTCTTTCATAACCGCACCGCAGAAAATCGAATCCCACGAACGACCATATTAATTTTTATATTTCCACATAGAAACGATACTTATTACGGCGCTGAATCCTGTTGTATTGCTTAACGGAAAATTTATAATTTCTAATATAATAAACCATAGAGAACATGCACCAAACATAGACAATGTTTTTCATTTTTTTTATTTGTTTAAACATCATACAAATTTTGTTTTTTAACTTTGAATATTTTTTTTCCCTACCTTTTTTTTCTCCTCTGTTCCCTTTTTTTGTATGTCACCCCTTATCTGTGGACGGAAGTAAGAAAAAATGGAANGCAAGTATACCCAGAAGACTGCAGAAAACACATTTATTCCCTGCCTCACAGAACAAAGCAATACAGTGTATTCTGAGTACCAACAGGCTTATGAAAACGATCCCTTCGCTGAGAACACCATCAGAATTGGCGAAACACTGCTCAACCACATGCAAAAAAGAGAGATCGCTGGCAGGAGCTTATCACAGGGATTGACATGACACACAATAGTAAACAAGCTTGGAAAACCATCAAGAAACTCAACTCAGAGTCAAACACCAACTCTAGCATACCAGAAACTACACCAAAGTTGCACACCAACTCCTGCCCCAATGGTAAGCACAACAAGAAAAGGGATATAAAAAGAAACTAAAAGACGATACAGATCAAATTCTGAGGCAGAGTAACACATAATTCCCTTCATTTTCTATCGAGGAGGTGAACAAGGGAATAAACACCATCAAAACTTGGCAAAGCTGCTGGAATTGATGAAATCACACCAGAAATGGTACACCACTTTGGCCTGAGAGCCCGGGAGTGGATTACCAAATTGTTTAGCAGCTGTGTGACAAAAACAAAAGTCCCCAATGTCTGGAAAAAGACCAAAGTTGTAGCTCTTCTGAAACCAGGCAAAGATCCTAAGTCCCCAAAGAACTACAGACCAATATCTTTGCTTTGCATTTTATATAAATTATATAAATGATTTATCATGACCCGCATCTCACCAATCGTAGATGAGCAACTGTCTTGCGACCAAGCGGGTTTCAGACCTGGCCGTTCCTGCTGTGGACAGGTTCTTAACCTTACACAATTTATAGATGGCTTCGGAAACCAGCTTAAAACCGGAGCTGTGCTAGTAGACCTCACATCAGCTTACGACACTGTGAATCACAAGGCTCTCCTCTTCAAGGTAGCACAACAGTCGTCAAAATCCTGGAATCTCTGCTTAACAACCGACGGTATTTCGTTGAGATAAACTCAAAGAAAAGCCGATGGAGACTCCAAAAAAATGGACTCCCACAGGGCTCAGTCCTTGCTCCCATGCTATTTAATATATATGCAAATGACCAGCCACAATTTGAAAACATCCGCACATTCATATATGCAGATGACCTATGCATTGCCACACAGTCAAAATCATTTGAAATAATCGAAAATAGACTTACAGATGCCTAACAATACTCTTAGACTACTACAAACATTGGTTCCTAAATGCTAATCCAAGAAAAAACACGTCTGCACCTTTCACCTCAACAACCGTCAAGCCAACCGAAACCTCAGAGTCCGGTGGGAGAATAAAGAATTAG